TCTGGTCAGACATCATCTGGATGTGCTGTCTCACAGCTTTTCCAGCTTGTAGAGCTTGTGTTGCTCAGTGTAGCCTTATAATTCTGTGTAGATCTTCAAGGTTCTATATCTATTTTCTGGCAAAATTCTCCACCATGAAAAGAAGAGGAAAAAAATTAAAAACACTACTTTTCTGGTGGTCTATAGACAATAAGAAAGTATGTGTCACACTTAGGTTATTAAAACAAACAAAACAATCTTTTTGCTTTCTTTGGCATTTTGCTGGCATTGGTAAGTCTTTCAAAACTGAAAACTGAAATTTTTTAAAAAAATGTGAAGTTGAAAAGGAATTAAATACAATAGAGTCCTTGGAATGTTTCTTAAAAAAAAACTTGTTGAGGAAAGAAATCTCATTTGTTTTGGCATAAAATGCCCTGAAAGTTCTGGAAGTTATTAGGAGTCCAAGTGCAATGTAGTTCAGTGTAGAACAGTTCAGTTTCACTTGAGTGACATACTTACATTAATGCTGACTGAACCACTTGCAGACATGTCTTTGTACCCAGTACTTTTGTCTCCTTGATACCTGGGCATCATCTTATTTTAAAAAATAAATAAGATTGTTCGTACCAAGGGTCCAACTTGCTGAATATGAATTCAGTTGACCTCTTGAAGTCTGTCTGCTTGTGTTTTCTGCAATAAGAGTTCTGTGACTATGAACTTATTCTATACCACTGAAGGGTACCAAGACTATTTCCTGTTTTTTCCTGTCTCTAATGTATTAATCAATCAGCCAGAGGCAGAGAGATCCAATAGGTATTTGTTTATTTTCAGCTGAAAGCAAGCAAAAAACTTCACACGTAGAAAACATGTAGAGAAGAAGCATGCCCCATATACAAAAAGTATACATTTTTATAAGGCAAAGCATGAAAGATGGGCTAAAGAGGTTGGGAGAAGGAGGAGAAATGGGAAGAGATTCTGTAATTGGTAGGAATTCCTCCAAGTGCTCGGCTGTGAGCAATAATTCATCCCTTTGTATCAGATGCCCGGACTACTCCAAGGACAAGATGCCAATCTAGAAAATGCTTTAATTGTAAAATGAAAGAAACTGAGGGACACCCTTTCCTCCCTTGTTCATTCTAAGCAAAACCTTAATATAACTGGTTTACACATTCATATAGCAAACCAAGCTACAAAAAGCAAGATGGCTACGGTTAGCTGAAGATATATTTTATATGTACTGACTGGACCCCTTCACCACAATTGAATAATAGCAATAAAAATGTCCTTATACATAAAGTTGCAACTTTTTTGTAGTTGTTGTGATGAGCTCTTCTCTGTGAACCTTTTTTTTCATCTGTGTGTGTTTGGGTGCACCTGTTTTATAAAAGATGAAAAAAGATTCACTACAGAATAAGGTCCTTCTGTAGTTTACATTGCACTCATTTCACACGCTAGCAAGGTTATGCTCAAAATCCTACAAGGTAGGCTTCAGCAGTATGTGGACCAAGAACTCCCAGAAGTACAAGCTGGATTTTGAAAGGGCAGAGGAACTAGAGACCAAATTGCTAACACGCGCTGGATTATGGAGAAAGCCAGAGAGTTCCAGAAAAACATCTACTTCTGCAAAAGCCTTTGACTGTGTGGACCACAACAGCCTATTAACACTTTTGGGCATGATGACTAGGGTAATTTTGTGTATAAATGGAGTATAGCCTCAGTGGATAATGCCCTCCATGCTACAATTAATATCTGTCTATTCCATACCTCTAAAAATGTACAGTAATGTGTGCCTGTGAGACAGGAGGCAAGAGGGGTATCCCACTCACTGGAGAGCCATCCCTCCTCCATACCGAGCAGAAGGAGATACAGATTCAACCTATCCCAGCACCCAAAAAGACAGAGCAGCAAGGGGCAGGAACAGAGGAGCTAAAAGGGGAGATGCAAGTCTGATTATTGAAAGAGCTCAAGGCAGGAAAAGAGTAGAAGAAGAGGGTGGAGTCTGAGGCGGAACAGCAGAGATAAAAAGGAAGGAGGAGCAGTTACAACCAGCCTGGGAATGGTTATGGATGGAAGACCCCTGGACTGGGGCTTGGGAGAGGTTAAGAGTGCCCAAGGAAGAGGCCGACTATAGGAAAAGAAGGGAGATTCCCCCCCCCAGACTGTCATATTGAGGAGAGGCTAAGGCAAGAGAGTGGAGAAAGAGGCTTAAAGAAGAAAAGGAGAAAGTGGAGAGAGAAAAGAAAGAAAGATTAGAATGGAGGATAAATGAGATGAGGAGGAAAGGTTACAGGGAGGACCCTGGAAGGACCCTACACCAGAAGGATGTCCCGTGTGGAATGATGGCCAGGATGACGAGACTCTGCCCTTGTCGGAAGGTGAGATGGGACAGACAATAGCCGACAACCTCTTTACAGACTGGCCAGGCCCGTGGAATTCCTGTGAGAGAAACCCGTTCTTAACCAACGATTGGAAACCCCTACAAGACTCATTGTCGGAAGGAGAAAAGCATTGTAATCAT